GCTCCTGTAAGCCTCAAGAGCTCACTTCTTCCAGTTCCCTGTCACACTTGATTGAGCTCAACTCTTATGACTAAGCTCATCGTGGCATGGTGCATCTTCACCACCCTTCAACCTGTGAAACCACAGGTACATGTGGATCAGACATCATTGGGAAATTCCACAGCCAGGCTCTCTAAATATTGAGCTGTCAAGGTTGGAAAGTCAGACACAAAGCACTGGACGACATCTGAAGTGACTGTCAGAAGTCCACCTCCCTGCACTGAAGTGGGATCCAAGGTACCCGGGCCAATAGATGTTGCCCACCCTATTCCTTGTAGGCCGCTGAGGAAAGGGATTCCTCAGCACCCCGAGCTTATCCAGTCCAGGTAAAAGTTATGCAGCTTCTCACACTTTCCAAGGTTATTTGGAAGAACAGAAGACCTGAATCCTTGCTGCAGAACACAGCAGTTTGGCTGCCAGAATTGTCCGTGCCCCAGTGCACATGTCAGGGGAGTGACTGCCTCAAAGCGCCAATTCAGTCCCCCATTTGCAGCTCAGCCCAGCCAGCTTTAACTACCCCTACAGAAAAGCCTCCTGCAGAGGCTCAGCCTCCACCACCTCATTCTACTGAAAAAACACAGGCTGAGCCAAAAAGAATCCTAGTGCAAGGCCCAGCCTCACGTGCCTGAACAGTAAGCTCTGCTGATGGCAAAGCTTCTTTGCCGTGTAGCTGAGGCATGAAGCAACCTGTGCTTTTATGCAGCTTCGTTCCAAAAGGCAAGCTCCACAGTGACATTTCTTCATCCACACAGACCTGGTGCTGATACAGCTGTGGTACATGAAACCTGCTGCTCAGGGCAACACAACTGGGACAAAGCAGGGCTGGTTTGACAATTTAGAGTTTAAAACCAGAAGTCATTGAGAAAGATTTGGGACTTTCAAGTTCAAAAGGAAAAAGAATGCAACTGATAGGCCACCCCACCCCAGTTGACCCTGACCACTGGGAAAACAGTACTGGCTACATTCTAATAAGACCTTTTCCGAATTCTCTTTAAGTACTGCTGCTGAAATCACTCACACCGAATGCTGCTGTCCCAACAGCTCTCTCAGCAGACAGCACAATCCCCACCTCGGAGAAAACAAAATCACCTCCTTGTTTCCAGCAACAGTCAGCTGACAAGGCATGTTTTGTGCATCAATTTCTCAAAACTTAGTAACACTGGAAGCTAGTATGAACCCATCTTGAAAGCACACCACAATTTTAATCAGTTTCAAACATCAGATGTTTGGTTTGATATTTACAGTTGTTCTGACTCTGTTTCGTTTAAGGGCTCCTTTTGTCTATAAAAGCAAAGATAAAGTTATCTGAGGCACCCACTGTAAAATCTCTAATTGAAGAGGAAATTTCTTCTGTCACTAACTGGCAGGTGCTAATAGCTGCTGTTATTATTTTCTGTATGATGCCAGGCAAGTGGTCTTAGAGAATTACCCTTCATCCTACAAAAAGTGGTCATCGAATCCACTAATCAAACAACCATGCCCCTGCAGTTTCTAAAAGGAACATTTTCTTCTAAGTCTATTTTACCCTACAGGAAAAAAAAAAAGCCTAAAACAAAATCTCTAATAACTATAGTAAGAGCTCAGTCTGGTATTATGAGGAGGGGGCTGGTCATTATTTCTTTTTAAAGGCTCTTTTATAAGGATTCCCCATCAGCCTTTAATTAGCATGCTAGTTCCAATTCAGAGGTTCCTGATCACTTACAGCCCAGTTCCACGTTGACCAAAGGCAACACGGACGCCCTTGAACTCAGCAGGGTCCACAGGAGGGCCTAGGGCCATGCAAGGAACTCGCTAGTACCCACACAAAGTTAATCGAGCAGGCCTTTGATGCTCACCTCTGGGTGTCAGCCTTTGGAAGAGTTTTCCTACGGAAGATCAGAAGAAAATCTGGACTTCCAAATTTGGAGCTGTGTAAATGCATCATCTGTACTCAGCAGGTATAGCACTAATTTGTCTTTGGCTGTAGATGGGAGTGAAGCAATCTATCAACCGATTCAGTTTGACTATTTGCACGTATTTTAAATCTTTGCTTACATAAAACTACAATAAAGTATTTTAGAACAGAGCATCTGCCAACATACATACAGTACTCTGCTGAAGGCAGATCCATGCGGGAGGGGATAGGTACCATCATTAGATAGCTGTGACAGGCGATTCACCCCCATTTATCTTTCGTCTCATTCACAAGGAAAATTGAGTGTCATCCCCATCCATAACCTATGGATACCATCTAGATTCTTGAAAATCATAACAGGTTGAAGGATGCAGCAGAAAACTCCCCAACACAAGCCAAAAATATTTAACCTGAAACCTTTTGGAATACAACCTGAAAACATCAGTGGCCCAGCCAGAGCCCCTGCTAACACGGATTGCCAAGGGCTAATGAACACAGAAAACTCTTTACCTAGCACATAATTTTACTGTTGCTGGGAGAGCACTGCTCAGTCGTTTGGGTACAGATCCAAGAAATTTGCTTCTTACAGTTTTGTCTCTTGTTTGAGCCAGACACAAATTAAGGCTAAATTAAGAGCTGTGTTTCAAAACGATTCAATGGAACACAAGAACAAAGGTCAGAACTTAGATCTCTGCCCTGCAGGTGCACATCCTGAGCACACAGCTAAACAGGGCCAGCCACGTTTTGGGGACAACTGGCACCAAAACCAGGAATCTGGGGACATTCCGAGTCTGACCCACATACCACGTTACGTACCAGCTTCTCCAACAGCAAACCCTGCCCAGCCAGAACACCATGCCCTGGGCTTCACTGGGAGGTCAGGCCAGCAGCAGATCAGCCAGTCTCCAATGACTCCACTGAAACACAACGCAGTCACTTCCTCCACTTGCGAGGAAGGATGACGGATCGATCCAAGGGGAGCTACCGAATTCATACAAGATATTTCCAACAGCCATTCCTCCCTTACTGTTCCACCTCGACTAAAAATAAATAAGTTTTAAGAAGAGGTCCCAGGTCCCTTGGATACCAAACCTTTAAAAGGATTTCCTGTATCCCGCAAAACAAGTGGGAAGCTCTAAAGCACAGACCAGTGATTTAGTCTACACATGCCAGGTTCAAGATTGGCCAAAAACCTTAAATGAACCAACATAACAGCTGCCACAAAAGCCGACAACCTCTGATCAATACATTCCATGTTCAAGGCAGAACAAACCACCTCTCTGCAAAACATTCTTATGGTTGCAAAGAAGAAATAAATTACAACAAATTTAAGAAGCTGGAGTTTTGCTTGGCTTAAGAACCCCAGGCAGAGCCCCTCATTTTTTTAAGAGCAGCACATGCTTAATCCAGAGCAGCAGTGATTAAAGCAGTTGGGACACCTGTGAGACACCACAAAACACATTTAAAGAAAAAAAAAAAAAAAGACATTCAGCAAGGCTGCAAATCCATGTGTGTTGCAAGAACTAACGAAGCTTAAAAACCATTGAAAATGTTAACACAATGAACAGGAAAATATTGAATGTGTTCAAGTATTTTTGCATGACTTCATCCTAGATCTTTTTATTCCCTAATTTGACTCTGCTTTTTAGTCTAGATTATAAAGAAGATTTAAAACAGGGAGCTTTTTTTCCCTTCCAATGAAGGTGTCCCATTAATAAAAAGGAAACAAAGAAAATGAAGAAAGTGAGTAGTAAAACTTTTACAACGTAATAAAATATATCAGAATCCCAGTGCAGCAGGATTGGAATTGTCTAAAGATGCTGAATTACGATCGGCTGTCATATTAAGTTCAGTTCGGAGTATTAGCAATCATATTCTCTAGCAACATGTATATAATTGGGAGATCTTCATAATAACCCTCAGTTTTAAAGGCTCATAAAAACTGCATTTTACTCCCAATTTGCAGGAGGAAAGAAGTATTCTTAAAGGAAAGTAACATCTTTCTCTCAGTAAGATATACTCTGAAGGCAATACACTATGTATTTTAAAGCAAGCAACCCTAAAAGCTCTTTCTTTCACAGTTTTTGGTGGGTTATTATACAAACACTCAGTTTCAAAAGATAAATACCTATCTAGGACACGCACTACAAAGAAAATCACTATCACACAGAGAAGAACCTTCTGAAAGTATATTGGAAGAAAAGCATGTTACATTATTTTTGAATACAAGTACAGAGTTACTTTAAGGTAAATATCTTGAGATAATATTGTAAACAATAGTAAAACAAGCTATGGCACTCACACAGAGGAAAAAAAACGCATGTTGGTTTTATGAAATGTGTGTAAACTACATTTATCCACCTCCAAAACACGGCATGAAAATAATTATAAAAGTATTATGAGCTTTTGGCACACTGGGTAGACTCCCAAATGTCTCTACATTTTTTCAATTTCTCCCTTGACATTCTAAAACAAAATCCTTTCAGTTTGTTACAGAGTCAACTATCAAGAGCCATAAACTTCCAATTATCCCAGCCTACTTTCAGACTTGCTGAGGTAATGAAAAGGATGCTGAAGTTTCTATATGGAATTGTAAAATACAACCTGCCATCAAACCCAGATATTTTAACTTTATACTTTTGCCAGAGTAAAGCCTTTTTGTAAATAAAGTGTGTTTGTTTTCAAATAAAACTACTTCAAGCTGTTTGGGGAAGCACAGTAAGTAATAATAATAGCAACAATTTCCATTTGGATTTCAAAACCTGATGAAAAAAAACCAGCACACGTCAAGTCTAGTGTTTTCCTACCTGGAACAGTTAAGGACCAGCTCTCAAATGCCACCTTGGGATAGTTCAGACTAGTAATCCCATTCATGCTTAGATGAGATACCAGCATGAACAAGAAAGCAGACAGAAGAAAAAAAAAAAAATCTCTACTCTGTCCTCCTCTTCTTGTATTAGCAACACCTACAGCAATGGGTAAGACCCGGCAAGGAAGCCAAGGACCCGGAGGACCAGACTAACCCAAACCCGCTGCTAGAGAGAAACAGGTTTAAGAGGAGACTTACTGCTTGCCATGTGACTGGGGGAGGTATGCTGCCCATTGGGTGTGCTGGAGGTGAGGTCAATGGCCATGCCGGAGTGCTCCCTTTCGGGCGAAAGCTCATTGTCACCTGCTTTCACAAAACAAGTGCCCCGTAAGTTTCCATCCCCTCCTTCAGCTGAGCAACACAAGGATTGAGAAGTACGCCTCACTCACCCCCTTCACCCTTCCCTGCTTTACCATCGGGGTCTTCCCCAGCCTGTGAAAACTGAACCCTCAGTGGCAACAGGTAAACATGACTGACCGATTTTAGCACCCCCCCCCCCCCCCCCCCAACCTTGTGTCACCTGCCTTCTACACACACAGACCTGGGACAAACCTTGCCCCAGCTGCTCTGTCTCAAGAGAAGTTAGCATTACTTTTCCATTTGCAGACACTGAGAGTCCAGGCTGGGCAGGAGACTGAAACTGTACTTCTCCTTACAGACCTGCCCCAAAAAGCTCTGGGTTAGCTAACAGTTAAACAAAGTGCTTACACAAACCCCGGAACAGAAAACAGAAAAAAGGTTTTGGCTGCAATTTGGATTCCTGGAGATGAACTCTCTCGTTTGCAAAGTTCATTCATCCTCAGGAAACTTTTAAACCTAGAGGTACTCCCCCATGCGCCCCTCCCCAGGCATTTTTCAGCTACACATAAATTTTATTTTTAAATGTTATTAATTCAGTGTCACCTCAATGCAAATACCATAGACAAGGGAGCGAAAGTTTCAGGTGTCTGCATTATAGAAAGGACAGTGGGAAAAGAGAAGTAATTCAGAATAATCAAATGAAATGACTACTTACATGTTATATATCCATCAGCAGCCTCTGCTTCCATAGTCAAAGTGCAGTGCTGCAAGGCAAAAAAGTACACCCTCAAAGATGCCTGTCAGTACCAACCACTAAATGATTAAACTTACTTAAAGCCCTGAGCAGTTGCCCATTTTACTGCTGTTGCAACCACCGCCTAGAGAAACACACAAGTGTGCTGCATGTGCTCATTTGCAAATCACCGAGCTCTTCCCGCAAATTGTGTGAGGAGAGAAATTCAGCTGCCTCCCAGGCAGGCGACACTGGGACCGTCTTGGTCTGACCGTACCCCTCTCTGTCCCCCACTTGCATTTTTAACCCCATCTGAGAGGTTTTTCCCCTGACTTCCCACTTGTTTTATTCAAGCCAGGATGGTAATGCTTTATCAATTATCAGCTCTCGCAGCCGGAACAGACTTTGAGGAGATGGATACTATCAACAATTGCTCTTTTCACACGCGCTCCAAGAGACTCCATCCTGATCTAAACAAAATAAAGCCCCCCCGTGTTTTTTCCCCTTTGGGAGGGTCGCTACAGCTCTTTGTCTCGCCGCACCGTAGGCACAGGCACACACACCTGTACGTGCACCTGCTCACTCTAACCCTATTTATGTGCCACAGCATGGGGCCGAACGTCACACTTAATACTCCCAGATCATACATTTTGTGGTGTGAAGCAATCTTAAAGTTTCTGGAAGCACTTTGCTGACACAGAACAAGCTATTACTTTCCAGAAACCCAAGTAACTGTATAGAATGACACCCCCTAGCTATCATTTGATATAGATTGAAGAAAAAAAAAAAAAGGGAGGGGGGGAGAGAGAGATCAATAATCATAACTGTGTTCTTTTAAGTGGAAAAGTTAAGAATCTGACATGACCAGAGGAGAATTTTATTTCCTCTCTCCCTCCACGGCCTCCTTTTTGCCTTTAGTTTCAAAACTCTCACTGCACCAGGCAGTTAAATTATTCACAATGAGCCATTTCTGTATTGATCGCCAAGTATATTTAGCCCTGGCTCCTGGAATTTCTCCATTACTTACTGGAAAACAGGCAGCTTCACTTCTTGTCTCCAAAACCACTTCCCTCCCCCTCCCTTAACCCGCTTTCCTTCCCCCCCTCCTCCCACTCCCAATAAATAAATACTTTTCTCTGTGCTCTTCTTTGGTATAAAGCAGATCAAATTCCCAAGGCATTCAGCACATAACACTTCAATTTCAACCTGCCCAGCTGCTACCAAACTCTCCTCAGTTACTGATTTTCACAGGACTCTTAAAAAGAAATCTCAAAAAAAGTTTTCAAAACAGGTCAGCCTCTTCCTCAAGCCCTTCAAAATTACCTTATCTTCCCCCTAGTCCAGGTAGGCAGGCACACACTGAGAAAAAGAAAGACACATCAGAAGCAACAGGGAAAGATCAGCCCAGCCAATGAAGTGGAAGGAAAGAAAGGGGAGGAAGGGAGGAGGAAGAGAAAGGAAGACAAAAAGAAGCAGAGAAACATCTACAACCGAAATTAAAACATGGTTGGATTTTTATGTTTTATTTCTTCAAGGGGAGAAGAGGAGGAAGGGCAAAAAAAGTTTGATCAACATTTTTAGGCTGGTGATGGCAAATGCCAGCTGCTAAGCCTCCTTCTCCACAACGAATGGAGAGAGAAAGAGTTTTGCTCGGGCTGAAGATCCAGCAAGATGGGGAAACTTGAAAAAAAAAATTTTTTAGAAAAAAGGGAAACAGAGAGAAGGGGGGCTGGGAGGGAGGGGGACAGAAACCCGCCCCCGACACTTACAGGTTTCCTTTACTCAAGGCAGATTTCCAATTCCAGCTTACGAATGTACTTACATTAAAAAAAGAAAAAAAAAAAAAAAAAAAAAAAAAAAGAGGGAGGGAAGGAGGGAGGGAGGTCAGCCGGTGCTACAGAAATGCGATTAACCAGCGGGGAGAGAGAGAGGAGAGAGAAAAACTTGATCCACCGGTTCGTTACGAATCGGCACGAAAACGGGGGGAGAGGAGGGGATGTGGGGCGGGATGGGGCGAGGGAATTCAGGGAGG